CCATTGTTGTTGAGATTGTTGGTGTCTATGTTTCCTTTCTTAAGCTCTTTAACAAACATGCTTAAGAAGTAAAAACCAAACAACATTTTTGTAAACCGATTTCGATTAAACCGAACCGGATTGGTTAAAAATAGCTTAAAAAAAAAATAGAAGAGATTAATTATGAACCGTTTAAAACGTATGTGCCTCAATTTTAGTTGTTGGGGATTCTTTTAACTTTGTGTTTTTCTTTTCCATGACTTTCCTCTTATCAAGAACATTTCTTTCTCTCACACTGAGACCTTCTTGTTCGATTTCCATGGCGAACCTAACAACGACGACTGTAAAATCTCGCCTGAGAGGCGTTGTATTCGATATGGACGGAACCCTAACGGTTCCGGTGATCGATTTCGCGGCAATGTATAGAGCTGTTCTTGGTGAAGATAAGTACAAGCGAATCAAGAAAGAGAGTCCGACTGGAATCGATATTCTTCACCATATCGAGTCTTGGAGCCCAGATAAACAGCAGAAAGCTTATGAAATCATTGCTGATTATGAACAACAAGGAATAGATAAGCTCCAAATCATGCCCGGTATACGCTTCATTTTTCGATTTGTAGAGGATTTGGGGGAAGTGTTAGGGATTTGGGTATATGTTCTTATCTGTCTATGTGTATGCGTGAGGTGAAAGATTGAAGATTTATACTTTCAAGGGTGAAAAGGAAAATGAACATTTGCTCACAGTGAATCTTAATGTGTTACAAGCTTATTTTTTGTGTTTTTTGGGAACTTTCCTTAGAGCTACAATTTGTGATCTTCCCTTCCTGTTCATTGGGTTTATAACATTAGTTTGAGTACTCTAAGATGAGTTGCATTTGGGAACCTAGATAGATGAAGGGAAAGTCGACACACTCTTTAGACCACATTTATCTTGATGAAGTAGTTTTTCTTTTGTTTGTCTACTGTGTTTCTTTTGGTGATTAGAAGTTTGATTTTGTTCAAATTACGTTGCAGGTGCTGCTGAACTATGTGGCTTTCTTGATTCAAGGAATATAAAGTCAGTTTTTCAGTTTTATCGAACCGAATCTATACTTTGTGTTTTCCTTATCCTGTGATAACCAACTCTTGTGTATACTTTGTAGAAGGGGGTTAATTACACGCAATGTTAAGAAGGCAATCGACATCTTCCACCAACGTTTTGAGGTGACCATTTTAAGCTCCAACTCAAATATTAGCATTAAAGACATTTTGACTTATCTGTTTAACCAGCTGCCTGATTGGTTTTGCTGGGTTAAGAAATCAGGGGCAGTTCTTCATGGACTGTTTTTCATTGTATAGGTTATATTTTCTCCAGCACTAGGCAGAGAGTTTCGTCCATATAAACCAAACCCAGACCCGCTGTTGCATATTTGTTCCGCGTGGGACATCCAACCTAACGAAGTCATGATGGTCGGTGACAGCTTAAAAGATGATGTGAGTGGCAGACCAAGTCTTAGGTCAACCCTTCTGCATTAGCAAATCTTTAAGCATTGGCAAAAGAAGGAAGGTCCGCGTTTAGTTGATGAAGCTCATGAAAGAAGCTTAAACACGGACCTCCTTTTGGCTTTGCTTAAATATTTGCTATGCGGAAGGAATGCCTACCAACTCTCAGATTATTTCTTCACATATTGTTTGAACATTGCAACTGGCAATTGATGTTTCTTCACTCGATATTCTGCAGGTAGCTTGTGGGAAACGAGCTGGAGCCTTCACTTGCTTGCTAGATGAAACCGGAAGATATAAACCAGATGATTTTTCTGTCTCTGGTCTGCACCCTGATTTTAAGGTTGAAACCTTGTCCGAAATTCAGAACATATTGGAGACGAACTTCGACCTGAACGCATAGTTTTTTCTTTTCCAAGCTCCTTATATTGTAGTCTCAGTGACCAAAAAGCAGTTTCCTACTCAACAAAGGATGTAGATTGCAGCAAGATAACTGTTGTAAGAGATTTCATAAATGTCAAATCACAGATTTCTGTTCACTAGCTATCTTATGTTGTAAGAGCCACACATTGTTTGTCTAATAAATCCAAGATTTCAAATTTTTTTTGTCATTTCAACTCTATGGATTTGATTCTTAGTAATCACCCAACAATGATATATCTACAAGACTACAATCATAAGGTCCCAATAGGGTCTTGTTGCTTCCCTAGCGTCTGGTTAGCACAGTTAGATCATGGCAGGTCTCTGTAGAATGATGCAAACATAACATCTCTATTTGATGGCTATCTAATGCCATATTCCCAGAATAATGGCGATTACGAACAAGATCAACAAGGTAAAGTTGCCTCCGGGAAGAACCCATGACCTGCAAAATCAAAAGCTTTTGTTTTCATATCGATCCTGCAATGATAGTTCACATGACAATGACAGAGGACTAAAGAGAAAGTTGTGTATAGTTGGGTGAAGATACCTGAGCTTCTTTCTAGACTGTTGAATATAAGCCATTGCAGGAGGGAGGATGCCGAAGAGGAAGCAGTTTGCGTAAACACCAGCAAAATCCAGAGCTTTCGAAAACGTTGAGGGAAAGAATGTTGCAATTAGAGCTGGAACTCCAAGCACAAACAGCATCACTACTGCTTCAAATCCATCATGAGCTCTTGCTGGTTCACTGTATGAAACTCTCCCATCAGTTCTCTTATTACCTGCTTTCGATGAGAAACTTACCGACCCAGTTCTACCATTTCCATTTCCATTTGATTGGTTAGACACAAGCTTCCATGTATCAAGGAGTTGTTTCGGGAAGCTAACAGCGTATCCGATTAAACTAGTGGCTAAGGCTGAGAAAGCAAAGCCTTGAACAGCAGATAAAGCAGAAGGGTTTACAGATAGAAGAAGAGAGATTGGGTCAATGGGTGAAGAAGATACAGGAACATTGATTCTTGCAAGCCCCAAAACAATGAGATTCCATGAACACACCATAACCAATGGCACAACACCGCCTACAAGAATAGCTCTCCGAGCATCTGAAACCGAATCCCCTGCGAGATTGCATATGAAAGGAGTGATAACATGAAACCCCAGTGTCAGTACCATAACAGGAACCGCAGGTAAAACCGTCGATACTTTCCAACACGACTGACCAAATGAGGCTAACACATTGGACCTAGCCACAGACAAACCTATTGCCACAAGTGAAGTTATAGAGAAGAGCATGAGGAAACAGAGACACCTATTTGTGATATCAATGGCATTGAAAGGGAAAAACCCGATCAAGATTCCGGAAACTAGAGGGAATAAAGCATTGGCCAAGAATGGATTCATTAAAGGAAACCATTGAGACACAATGGAGCCAATACCAGAGACACAAGCAACCATCAAAGAGAAACTCAATGAAGCATAGACAAAAGCTACAAAAACTCCAAATTGGTTCCCAAATGACTTCGTTGCAAGCCCTGTGAAGCTAACCTCTGCTGCATTGTCTTCTTCCATAGCTGCAAAGCTAAGCTCAGCCACTAGAAGAATAGATGAGATTACGTAAACCCAAGAACAAAGTAGAGCAATGGTCGATGGTATCGAACCAGATCTGATAGTTGCAGCTGGGAGACCGAGCATTCCGGGACCAACGGCGGTTCCGATGATCAAACTAACGGCAGCCCAGAAACTCTTTCCCTTTTTAGCTTCGTGGGTAATCTCTAAATCCTCCATTTTCTGTAAAGTTTCGGTCTTTTCATCTCCGGTGAACTCAGAAGAACGAGATTCGTTATGGCCTCTGCATCTAACAGCTAAAGGTGAGTAATGAGAGACATTCCGCGAAATGGGTTTCTGATAATCTGTGGTGAATAGCGTCGGCGGCGAAAGACAGTTGGGAAAACTCCGGCGACAAGAAAGTTTACGAGGAAGGGGATTTTGGTGAAAAAGAAAGGATTTTGAAAGTGTGGAAGATGAAGAAATGGAGACTAGCGAATGTTGGTGGAAAGTTAGAAGAGCCATTGATGCAATGTGCGAGATTCTCTGTCAATGTGGACCTGATTCGATTTGGTTGATTGAAAAGTTTGGAATTTTAAAGGCTCTGTGTGAAGATACCACTTCAGGGATCTTTGTCTAGTATGATTTTAGGGGTTGGTTTAACCAACCGGATTGGATTTGGTTAAGAAACAAATCAAAGGTCTTAAAGAAGTTTATTTGCATCAAATTGTTTCTTCAAGGTCACAGAAGTTTCCCAAAAAAAGGAAAAGCAATTGAAATTTACTAAAGAAAGAACAAGAAATATACAAAGCTAAAAATAGAAAGATATTAGAACAAAATTGTGTTGTTTGTTTATAAAAATTTAGGTTTTGTAATCTCTTTCCAAGGGTTGAGAGAGAGTAGAAGAGAAATATCACATTTCCCTTCAAAACCTCTCCTCTCTCTATCTCAACCTTTCAATCTTTCTTCTTAATGTAATATGTTTCTTGTGGGACAAGGCAATTCTTTTTACGAGTAAAATTCATGGCGACAGATATGTTCATGAAGCTAAATCCAATCTCCATAGACCTCCGAGAATTTTCCGGTCTAAGTCCTAAAAGCATCTCTTCTTTGTGTTGCATTAGCCCAAGATTGATATCTCGCAGCCATTTCATCAACCCTAGGACATTGATCTCCGGTGAGAATAATGATAACATATTGTTTCCCAAGAAGAAGATCCCCATGATGGTCCGATGTCAGGTTAGGTTAGCATTTCCTCCACAATGAATCTTTCTTTGACCGGAATTCATTAGTTTTTTCTTGAATTGTTTGATCTAGACAAGTCTTGGGATCGGAAGGAACCAAAAATGGTGGGAGAAGGAACTTAAACCGAACATGAAGTCAGTGACATCACCGGAAGATCTTGTCGGCTCTTTACTTAATGCCGGTGATAAACTTGTCGTGGTAGATTTCTTCTCTCCCGGTTGTGGTGGTTGCAAAGCTCTTCATCCCAAGGTAAACCGGAAACAATATTTTCGTAATTCTTAAACCAAAAACCTTTACCGGATTAAGCACTATCTATTAGTAGACAACTCGACTTTAAGTATAGTAGATTAACCAACTCCAAGTGTTATTATAAGATTGAATCAACTCAAGTTATGTATGTAGGCATTGAATATATGGGTTACTTTAGATCTAAGGAAAAAAAAAAAGAATTTCATATATTAGGTTTTATTTCTTGATCGAAAATGTAACTTGGATATATATATTTCAGATATGTAAAATTGCAGAGAAGAATCCGGATGTGGAGTTTCTACAAGTGAATTATGAAGAACAAAGAATTTTATGTCAAAGTCTTCACGTTCATGTTCTTCCCTTCTTTCGCTTCTACCGCGGCTCCTCAGGCCGCGTTTGCAGTTTCAGTTGTACTAATGCCACGGTACATAAAATTTTATATCATTTCTTTCTATATAAACAACTTGGAACGTGATATTTTG